CTTACTGTATGGATTTCCATCTCCAATATACTTAAATGTGAGTAAATGAATAGATATATAGCCATGACTGTGGATGAATACCTTAACAGCAAATGCTATTTCTTTCTGTAAAATATCCTGTCAAGCAAATAACTCAAAAGACTGACCTTTTGACTATATGCAGCTTTTATGAGAAAAGATGTGCAAATACCAATGTCTTATTTGGAGTTTGTAACTGAATGTTGCTAAACTTTTCAGATCGATCCGGGTGACTAAGCTCTCTCACCTGAGGTGGCTGCACCCTCTGATTCACATTTTATCCCTTTTGCTGGCGAAGCTATTCTGTCCTCATCGTCGGTTAGAGTAGATGCTGATAGATCTAATTAAAGCAAGAAAACAGGAAGGTGATAAGGGTTATCGGTCCTATTTACAATGATAAAAGATGTGGCATTAAGCAGTTAAAATGCTGAGTCTTTCAGATTTGTTTCTAAATAGAGGACTCTACTGTAACTGATAACCTGCTGAAAGCAGGACCAAATACGCCTGCAGAGAGAAAGTGTTTAGCTAAATATAATGGTGAAATGGAAGCATAACAATGCATGAGGACAATTTTGCCCTCTAACTGTGAATGAAGAATTGGGCCACTTGCCTTTTAAATCCTCCTTCGATATTGCTCTGCTGTTGCTTTGACTTGAAGACGACGACGAGGACAGCATGCTTTCAAAGAAGTCATTTAATTAAAGTCTGAATGCTAAAGAAACACTTTCTTTCACAGCAGACAAGAGCATTCAGTCTTATGAATGTTAAAGGCGATGGGAGCCATAGCAACAGTAGTCAAGGTGCAGTCAAACAGGGTCTTGTGTGTAAATGGAATCCCGCTGTCAGAGATAAACTGCTTTAAGTCTGCATATCTGGGGCAAACCCTCAAAAGGGAAACTAACCAAGGTTACATTAGTTGCTTTCAATGGTTCTAAAACTTTGTTTACATCATGAACAATTGTAAATAAATTGGCATGATTAGCTTGGTAAATGACATCTCAAACATAGTGACATTGTCACCGGTGTTCCTGTAAAATAATGAGGAAAGATAAAGGTATAATGTGTTGAGCTCCAATGTATTTAGGGGTATTAGATTTTATGGAAGATATTTAGTTTATATGATGAATAGATTTTAGAGGCTGTTAGTGGACACCATTTCACCCTTTTAATTACATAACCCGATTTCACAAACAAGGCTCAGACAGTTCAACCCACCCAAAAAATGAATATTTACCCTGTTTACCACGATTCCTTTTTTTTTTTTTTTTTTTGAACACTAAATATTTTGAGGAAAGCTGAAAACCTGTAATCATTGACTTCCATATAGGAGAAACAAATATTATGTGAACGATTACAGTTTTCTTCAGCTTTCTTTTTAGTGTTGTGTAAATGAATACATATCAAACCTCTTTAACAATATTAAAAGTACATGCTGAGTGACTAATTCACAGTTTTGATGATCATTTTCATGTTTGCTAGTTCTGAGATGAGGTAAGATCTAGGTAGACTATCTGCTTACATTTAAAGTAGGGCAATAAATACCACATTAAATAGGATTCAAACTCACATTCGAACATTTGACACTGAATAATGCACATGATCAGCACCTGTGATTATTGTTGTAGTAGTTTATGTTGTTTTTCCGGATGTAGATATAGAAACCATTTCCAAAAGATACATTTTGCTTGTCACTATCGCAGATAGTTAGGACGAAAACATCTTCTAACATGGTAAATATACCTTTTATTGCATATCGCAGTGTCTTGTGTAATTAGTACACAGTATAAGAACCGTTCAAATATTCACAGAACAATACAATAAGCAGCTGAAGTCACAACACCTCAGAGTTCTTTTCTAAAGGCCAGCAGTGCTGCAGCTAAATGTTTATATATATATATATATATATATATATATATATATATATATATATATATACACACACACACACACACACACACACACACACACACACACACACACATGCACACATATATATATATATATATATATATATATATATATATATATATATATATATATATATATATATATATATATATATATATATATATATATATATATATATATATATATATATATATATATATATATATATATATATATATATATATATATATATATATATATATATATACTGTTGGGGAAACCAGAGCACCCGCAGGAAACCCACGCCAACATGGGGAGAACATGCAAACTCCACACAGAAATGCCAACTCACCCAGCCAGGACTTGAACTAGCGATCTTCTTGCTATGAGGAGGCAGTGCTGACCACTATTTTTATATATTTTCCATATTGATTTTCATTTGTAACATAGCTAAGTTATGAAGACAACTTATAGAAAAACCTTATAGAAAAGTACATTTGGTCTGTGTAATGTAGTCAATAGGCAAGATGACCAGATCTTAGTGGTGCACAAAACCAATATAAACACCGTTATAAAATAAGAAAATCTATAAAAACTCAGTAAACAGTTTTAAACATTGCAAGATGGTGATCTAGGACTTGACTAAAGAATGTGTGTCATTGTAAGGAGTGTAATATCCACATGTGTAAAAATTCAACATGGCTTCTGTTCTAGTCTGGTGCCGGTGTATGTGAGCACTGTGCATGGTCATAGATGCCACCAAAATTGACAAATATTATGGGTTGTTATTTAGTGAGTTTAAACTACAATATAGTAATCAACATCACACGAGCCATTGATCCCCTGAATATCAGGAAAATTTCAAGTAGGATGTTTATCTTATGCAAATGTTCAATAAACGATAAGTTAATTATAGTTATCACTACTTATTTAGACACAGCTTTATGCGTTTTGACCAATTTCACCACAGACCAATTTAAAGCAAAACAGATGTCTTTTAGCAACGTCTTTGGTGAGCCAATGACCCATCCACAGGGGCAAAATCCCTTTGGTATGCCAAAAAATGAGAGCATGCCCTTGTGGTCTTTAGGAAAGTAAACACTGTGTGTCCCATGCATCATTTAGCTTTTTATATGGTGCTTAAACATGGACACCCTCCACTCCAGGATGCAATTTGGGATAGGTCCAAAAAGAATATTTGCTTTATTCATTAATGAATCAACTTGTTTTAAGAATTGGGTAGATGTATGGATGGATGGAGGTTATATAAATCAAAAACACCTAGTTTGTGACAGTTTCAAGGTGGTGACTAAAATATAAAACTGTTCTATGATTCGCCCCTTACATGCAGTTTTATTTTTACTACCTTGATAATTGTGTCACAACCTTGTGGTTTTAGATATACTGTGTGAAAGACCCACACCACACTGATAAAAGGTCCAGAATTTGTCCCATACATAAGCTCATTTGTCTTATTTTGACATATGCAATCATAAATTGTGAAATTAACCCATTTAATAAGGCTTCAAATGAATGCAGACTCTTATAGTCCAATGTCCAGCTGTGCAAGAAAACATGATGTAAGTGAAGTCATCTTTCACTACAAATAACTTTTATTCTGAATCTAGGAAAATATCTTTTAAAAAGGTTAGTAGCACCAAAAGCTGCTTATAAAGTTAATTCTAATACTAATTAGGCTATTTTTGTTATTCTTGAACTTTCAAAATGTAATTCTTTTTTTTTACCAAAAGAGATTAGAAAAATTGTTAAGTTCTACAGTATTAATATTAATATGGTTTATTATTCAGACAGTCAAATTCTAACTAAGGAGAGTTGAATGTACTGCACAGTTTGTTATTTGCCCAATAAATGACAATAGGCTCCTTTTTCTAATGATATATGATGTAATAAATTGTTAGTAATAAATTGTTGAAAGAATATTTGAAGAGTTCAGATCCAAAAACCTCTAAATGTCATCTAAAATGTTCTCCTAAAATGAGGATTTTTCTCAGGCTCCTATGTTTTTGTTTAAGTATTCACTTTAAAGATAATGAACAGTTCATCACTATAAAAGTAACATTTTTCAGTCTAGACACAAGAGTAGGAGAAACATGCAAATTTTAGTTATTTAGAATAAAAAAGCTAAAATGCAATATTTAAACTTCATAGTTAAATAGAAAATAAGGCGAATAACTGCAAAAAGGTCAACTTTTTGAGAAAAAAGAACCGAACCTTTCACCATGCTAGTTATGGGCTTTCATCCACTGTCTGCAGCTTATCCATGCAGGCCAGAATGCGGGGGCAGCACTCTTAGCAGTGTTCATATAATTGCATAAATTCATATTCTATAATCAGAAAAACTTTGGACAGTATATATATATATATATAAAAAAAAAATATTTAGGACTTGTATTTCGGATGGCACCATTAATGCTAAAATGTACATGAAAGTTTTGCTGTTGAACTTCATGACTTGGTGTCTTCACTCCCTAAATGTATTTTAAGTGTTGTGAAAAGAGATTGAAACATTATAAAGTGGTAAATGTCTTACTTAAATGTGTTGCAAGAACCAAAACTGGAGTATGTTCATAAAAAAATCACGAGGCATACCTTAAATAATGTTTGTTGTGTTGTCTGCAATAAAATACAAGCCAAAGTAACATCCCATCAACATCCCATCTTTTAAAAAAAATGTTTTCTATATTGTACCAACTTTTTCTGATTTGAGCTTATATACAGCGTGTCTGTGTTTGTGGTTGTAAAATATATTTTTTATTTATTTACTGAAACATCAAATTAAACAATAATGCAGTAGGCCTATTGCCTCTGGTCGCATAGCCTACTTTACAATATTGAGTGAAATTAAAATTCATACAACATCCCTGACATTGTTATTTAATTAAATAATAATACTTTAAAGTAATATTAAAACGTGTTATACTCATGGATACAAGCTGCAGTTTAGCACAGTTATAGCATATATATATATATATATATATAGTCGTAAAGTCATGACTATCCGACCCGGGGCAAGTGTTCAACAGGTAGAGAGACTGAAGAGGTGTGGATCTTCTTCAGGAGGGTGAGGCGCTGGATATGAGAGCCTGTCCTGCGCTCGTGCTCGTTTTAAAGCCGTTGGCGGCGGTGCGCTGCGTGCTGTCAGTCCGCAGAAGAGCAACAACACGCTGCTGAATTAGCCAAGTGCTCGCATATATAAATGTTATATTCTTATTTAATATTGTAGTATTTTTTCTCCCTCTCATGTAAATCGTATGGAGAAGAGGTTTGTTTTTGTATGCGCCCCTCGCAGGCTGGAGGCGAGTGTCCGTAAAGGAGGAGGAGCTACCGGACATCCGATAAGGAACTACGAGCTTCATTGAACGGGGTGAGAGACATAGTGCATATTAATATGTATTGTTTTACAGTAAGTGATGATTTGCAATGAGCGAGATGAGGCAGGATGCAGCTATCTGTCTGTCCCCTTTCTGGAGACCGAGATCAGCGGCTGATGCGATCTGAGATCTCCTGACATTGTTGCTGAGCTGTGAGCAGGAAACACCGCTGCAAAACACAGGCCTGCCAATGAATCAATGAATGAATGAAACAAGCGCGGCGCGATGCTTTATTGTTTTGCATTGCAGCCCTTGCAGTATTTTAAGCCCAACTGCGCTCTTTTGTTTGTTGCTGTTTGTAACGGACGCTCTCAACTTGCGCGTATAGTTCGCGAAGTGTTATGGAGCAGACATGCATAGATATCGTTTGGCTCTATTAGCTTTACTGTTTACGATTTGACGGCTATGTTAGATCGCTGTATCGCAGCGATTTTTTTGCTCACGAGCGAAAGATAGGCTATTGATTTTAATTTCTTTCTGATTGAGTCCTTCATATTGTAAATCTTAGCAGAAACAGCTGATGTGCGTATGTTTTCTTTATGTAGACTACAGTATTTTCATAGATGCATTAAATATTAGATATTTACTACACGGTACTAATAACGTGCCTGTTTTTAAGGCTTGTTTATTGTTTGGTTTTGTATTACCGCCCATGTGTGATTTAGCTTTTCAAACAGTGATCACATATTTAAATAGCTCATCTATCTATCTATCTATCTATCTATCTATCTATCTATCTATCTATCTATCTATCTATCTATCTATCTATCTATCTATCTATCTATCTATCTATCTATCTATCTATCTATCTATCTATCTATGTTTTTACAGTATTAAGCATGGATTTTATCACTACCACTCATTATAATCGTCTCCAGCAGGAATCCTGTATTCCAGTATGACTGCCGTCAGGCAGAGGAAGGGCAGTAAAGGGAAGGAGCCGGGGCCCGGCATTCAGAACCTGAAGCCAGAGTGTGTTGCTGAACCCAGAGAAAGGTTTCCAACAGGTCAGTTCTGTTCTTTGCAATGATCGGATATAAAAATTCCTCACCATTTATTCACCCTCGTTTGTCCCAGATGCTTTCTTTAAATCAGAGATGCCCAAACTAGGGCCCACGGGCCAAAGTTGGCCTTATTTATTCTTTTGATTTGGCCCGCCAGAGGGAAAATGATTGAGATGGGTTGGGGAATGTCTTTAAAAGAGATTTTCATATTTAACCTTTTATTTGTTTGTTTTATTATTGAGCTACAAAAAAAGAAAACTGAAATTAAATGTTGTAAATAAATCAGATTTTTATGGAGTGAGGACAAAGCAGAAGACAACAGCATGCTAATCTAGTCAATGTTCAGCAAGAAGGTCGCTGGTTGTCATTTCCTTGTGTAGTTTGCATGTGTGTGTGTGTGTGTGCGTGAATTAGTTTGTATGAATGTTTCCCAGTACTGGGTTGCAGCTGGAAGGGCATCTGCTGTGTAAAACATATGCTAGATAAGTTGGCGATTCATTCCGCTGTGGCGATCCCTGATGAATAAATAGACTAAGCCTAAGGAAAATGATGTAAATGCACACACAAGTATAAAATACAAAAAAAGTATGAATAAAACCTTTATTTGGTCTCACTTTATATTAAGTGCCCTAAACTATATAAACTTACATTTAAATTGATTACATTTATAAATACACCGTTGACTCATACTTTACACTTAAATACACCCTTAAACCTAACCATACCACCAAACCTGTCCCTGATCATACCTGAATCCCACCTCAATTGTACAATATGTGTTGTACAATGCCATATGAACACAAAAAGTGAATTTTATTTATTTTTAATGCAAGAACCTTTTTGTTAAGGCCACTTAATATGAAGTGGGACCCTTTATTTTGTACGTGATTAGATAGATAGATGTTACACAATTAATCAGCACTAAACCTGCATCTGAATCTCTGTAATACTGTAGTGCCGTGTACAGTATTATGTATTTCAACTTTAAATGTGAAAGAATTGGGTCACGGTGGCGCAGTCGGTAGCGCAATCGCCTCACAGGAAGAAGGTCCCTGGTTCAAGCCCTGGCTGGGTCAATTGGCATTTCTGTGTGGAGTTTGGCTGGGTGCTCCGGTTTCCCCCACAGTCAAAAGGCATGTGGTATAGGCGAATTGGGTGAGCTAAATTGGCCGTAGTGTATGTGTATGAATGCAAGAGTGGATGGGTGTTTCTCAGAGTTGGGTTGCGGCTGGAAGGGATTTGCTGCGTAAAACATATACTGGATAAGTTGGCGGTTCATTCCGCTGTGGCAACCCCTGATTAATTAAGATACTAAGCTGAAAAGATAATGAATGAATGAATTAATGTGAATACAATTTAATATTATATAGACACATGCACACAACACCGAAACACTTGCAGAAGTGATTTTTTCTCCCACAAAAATAAATAAATAAATAAAAAAAGGATTAGTTAAGACGTGAAAGAAATTATTTTAGCATTCAAAAGCATTTCAAGGACAAATTCAACAACTGTCTGTACTGTTGGTGTAACAACTGTAGTATAGATAATTAATTGCTTATGACTAATTTACTTGAAAATAACTTAAAGTAACAGTACCATCTTGGGGTGTGCATTATTTTGTAGGGCTGGGCTATTAATCGTATTAAGCATATTTAGTCCTCATTTTGGCATTGAAACAGGCTCTGTAATGAGCTGTAAATCTCCTGCAGCTGCTTTCAGATAGAGCAAAGTTTACTACACAGAGCTTACTGACTTTGCTGTGTGTTTATTAGTCATAAAACATCAATAAAAGCCTTAAAGGGTCACGAAACACCAAAACCCATTTTTTGAGCTTTTGACAGTCGTATATGTGTCCCACACTGCTAAAAACACTATTAGGACACCTATATTTCACTAAAAAGTGTAAATTGGTTGTTTTTGCATTATTTCAAGCAAATTCGTACTTCCTGTTTGAAACGAATTTTTGAAGCTGCGTCACGGTCATGACATAATAGCGTATATTCCAGCATGCAGACTGGACGTCTGTGCCAGAGTGTGTCTTATTACGTCTTACAGTGTGATGCATTAATGCATGAGTAAGGCTTGCTTCAAACCAATCAGCGCGCTCTATTGTGCAACTTCATTAATATTCATTTGTGTCACCGTGTTTACACCACAAAGACGCCACGTTGTGTAGGCAAAACAAGCGTGAAGTGTTGCTTTTATAGTTTGCTGCCGTTAAGTTTCGTTTTCATTTTCTCTCTGTGAGAGCTTATCTGGATCACGTGTGGATTAACAGTGTACGCGACGCTCGACAACAATAACTTACGTGTCTAAGGAGGATTATTGTTTACCTGAAAGCTGTTCTCATCTGCAAACGCTGAAATCTGGATTTGCTTGTAGTATTCTCTCCATAAAGACGCGGCTCTAGTTGCTGGTGATTGTCCTGTCTCTACAGATTTGGTAAGTGAGCGACCAGTGCTCTTTGTTTAATCAGTTTGCTCGTATCGAATTAAGTTACTATTGCACTGAGTGCAGAAATGTTAGCACCGCATTTAGTGACCGGAATAACACACGCGGCTTTCTGACGCTACCTGCCGTGTGCATCTAAGTTTCCGGGAAATGCGGAGTTTTTTTTTTCTCTCATTCGCCGTGCGGTATCAAACATTGCATGAAAAATACACGCTTAGAGCAGATCCTCGAATCAAATACCTCGTTTGTCGCGAGGGGCATGAATGAATTCCCTGAATGAAAGAGCCAAACTGCAGTTAAAGTCCAACATTTATTAATTCAGCAAATAATTCGACTACAGATGTCCATGTAGGTTAAACACCATCGCTTTCTCCTGTCTGTGTGGGTGTGTATTTTGACTCTGAAACTCGCGCGTGCACAAATAGACATTCCCACACCATCCCACTTTAGTTCCTCCGACACTCCCCCCTAAACAGAGCTGGAGACGCCCACTTTTCTGACTTTTTCGAAAGTAGAGGTGTGAAAACACCCTGCTGAAACGAGGGGGTTTCATGGCCCTTTAAATTTTTCTGCACTGTTTGATATTCCTTGTCTCTATTTAAGTGGTGTATTTGCAGTTTATACATGAGAGTGCCCCCTGCCCTTCAGAGTAGATTTACTACTGATACCTCAGAGCTGTGTTTCCCTGACATGATGCATGAGAATCGCAGCTTTTACTAAATTGCGACCTCTGTTTTATTTAAAATAATTGTGCCTAGGACCTAAATACATTACAGATATGCTGACTGAATTCAAACCCAATAGATCACTCAGATCTTTAGGATCATATAAACTAGTGGTTCCAAGAGTTCAGTCAAAGCAGGGTGAATCAGCTTTCAGCCACTACGCCCCTCGCTGGTGGAATCAGCTTCCAGAAATGATCAGATGTGCTCCAATATTAGGCATGTTCAAATCCAGACTGAAAACACATCTGTTTAGCTGTGCCTTTACTGAATGAGCATTGTGCTGCGTCCGACAGACCGCACTATTATGTTTTTCTCTTCTTCTTCATTCTTCATTCTTTAATATTTACATTTTACCTGGTTTTGTGTTTTTATTACTCATTTTTATTATTTGTTTTCATTTTTATTTTACTTGTTTCTTTTATTCTTGTTTATGTAAAGCACTTTGAATTGCCACTGTGTATGAAATGTGCTATATAAATAAACTTGCCTTGCCTTGCTGTAGTGACCCCAGATAAATAAAGTGACTAAGCCGAGGAAAAATGAATTAATTCTTTACATATGCCATAGTTTTAGGTTAACTGTCATTTGATCATTCTTGTTTCACGTTTGATGTATATATCAGCATGTTAAAGCACACTACGTAACTTTCACCACTAGAGGGCACATATTCACAACAATCAAAGGCATGGATTGACGCCACCGTGACTGGGTATGGAATCATGGGAGTCGTCATCTTCATTTCGTCCTGTGGGATTCCTGCAGAATTCATGTTCATAGATGAGCTTGAAGGTGCAGTAGGTGATTGTCTTCAGAAGCAATTTTTGTTGTGCTGGTTGAAAGTTGCTTCGCATTCCAATAGTAATGATTAAAATAAATGATTTAAATGTATTTTTTATATGTATTTTTATGTTTTGGGTAAGGCATAAAACTAAAAAATGTTCATCCAATTAAATAGAGTTGGACCGACATCTCTCATAATTTCGATTAGTAGGCCAAACTGTCAGCAAATGCAGATTTGAACAACTGCGCAGCCTTTTGTACGCAGCTCCGCAGACCGCGGTTTTGCTGCGCGTTTACAAGAGAGAAAGAAAGAGAGAGAGAGAGAGAGAAAGATCGATAAAAACCTGCTGAATCAAAACTATTTAAAAACCTAAATCAATATTGGAGTTACCTTTGCACGCCAGAGAAAAGATGACACAATGGCTGAAGGATTTCTCTTAGACAGGAAATGTTCTGTTTTAAAACTCTTTAGCTTCACGCATAGCTGATGTAATGTTAGATGTTGTTGTTACAAATGGGTTATATCTTCACAGAAGTATTCAGCCACTATAATCTTCTGATATTCACTCTGAACATGAGAGAGGGTTCTTTTGCTGTGCTCCTGTTTAAGGAGGCATGGCTCTAGACGGCAGGGGAGAGACTGTGATTCAGAGATTTATATTAGCTGTTAGCATTGTTGAAGACCACCTACTGCACCTTTAAAGCCCAATTCCAATTCTACCCCTTAGTCCTTCCCCTTACCCCAACCGTCTTTTGCGCGTTCACATTAAGGGGTAGGGGTGTCCCAATTCTCTTTACCTTAAAGGTGTAGGGTTAAGAGAAAGGGATAGAAACACCAACCCCTCCCAAAACACACATAAACACACAACATTCTGACACTCGATGACACTTGAATACCCTGTCAGAAAAGTCTAGTGGCAGGGAATGACCTTTTTACAGTGTCTGCTATAATGTTATTTGTTGTTGTTTTCGTGGGTTTTACGTTAAAGAATATGGCCAGGGTGTAAATGCACAGTATAGTTACGATCTTTTTGCCGCATTATATCATTATAATAACATGATATCAAGACCTTCAGTGATTTTCTGAAGATAACAAGAAATAACACAACTGGAATAGCTACAGCAGTCGGGATTGTCTGATCTCATATGAAGCAAGAGATTGCGATGACATGTGAGGACGTGTGCAGGTGCTGGTAGTGCTGTCCCATTTGTTAAGGGTAAACTTTGAAACCCTTTCCCTTCACACTCTGTTTCAAGGGCAAAGGGGAAGGGGTCGGGGTACAAAAATAGAATTGGGATTGGGCCTAAGTATTAAAAACGTATTATCATCACAGTAGTATGAAGCAGAGAAAGGCTCAAAGCTGTCACAGTGAAATGAGAACGCTGCAGCAATTTCTGATGCTGTGGCTCGAAAACAGTGAAGCTTTAATTATTCCACAGTCCACTGCTTCATGCTCATCCGGTTATGATCACATTGGGAAAAGGCAGCACTGTTTTACCATACTAAATACATTTTATTGTTCTGTTTTAAAGCTGTTATGTGTAGTTTAGACTAACACACATCAAATTAAAGTGTCTTTGGTGTTTTCCTGTGTTTTATTGAACAAAACTGGAAATCGTGGGAGTATGATATTATTAGCATAGTGATACAGGGCACCGACTGCATCACTAGTTAAAATTGTTTTTCAGGATTTTTACATTTTTCAAAACATTTGGGATAGAGTAAGTTCATAAGTCAGCAAAATATACAACAGTGTTCTAGTGTTTTTTTTAAGGATATTTTAATAATAATAATATTTAATAATTTATTCTTTTCGGCTTAGTCCCTTTATTAATCAGTGTCCACCACAACAGAATGGACTGCCAATTTATCCAGCAGGTTTTATGCAACGGATGCCCTTCCAGTCACAACCCAACACTGGGAAACACCCATCACTCTTGCATTCACACACATACACAATGGCCAATTTAGCTTATTCAATTCACTATAGTGCATGTGTTTGGACTGTGGGGGAAACCGGAGCACCCGGAGATGCCAACACAGAAATGCCAACTGACCCAGCTGGGGCTCGAACCAGTGACTTTCTTGCTGTGAGGGGATCGTGTTACCCACTGCGTCCCCATGATGCCCCTTATAATAATTATAATGTAATTTTACAAATGTTGCCTTTAAGCTCACGCTAGAAGTTTAAGGAAAACCACAAGACTGACACTTCTTGCAAAAGCTTTAAAAATGTGCTTGAAACTTCAGCTTTGGGTTTCTATCAACTGGTATTATAGGGACTTCCAGAAATACATTATATTAAAAAAGTTACTTTAACACAAATAAGTCATTCTTATACATTTGGACAGCTTGAATGTGTAAATGAGAGAATGTTCAATTATGTTGGATAGAGTATCCTTTTAAGATAACGCTAGAACATAACTTATGAATATTAATATGGCCTTTGGAGTAGGGCTGCACAATATATCAGCATCGATATCACAATGTGTGCATCCGCAGTAGTCACAATGCAGGATCTGCAATGTTGAGATTATAGTTGATCAGTGCAGAGTTTCATTATAATGTGGTAAAAATTTTATTATCTGCATGTGATTTTAAAGAGATAGTTCACCCAAAAAATCAACTTTACTCCCTTTTTTATTTCACCCTTCACTTGTTTCAAATATTTTTGAGTTTCTTTTTTATGTTAAACACAAAAAAAGATAATACCTTATAAACGTTTGAAACGAGGGAAGGTTGAGTAAATAGTATGTTTTCATTTTGGGTGAACTATCCCTTTAAGGCCTGTGACTGTGTAAACATTTTAACATTTCTGAGTTTAAAACATATTCATTCATTTTCTTGTTGGCTTAGTCCCTTTATTAATCCGGGGTCGCCACAGCGGAATGAACCACCAACTTATCCAGCAAGTTTTTACGCAGCGGATGCCCTTCCAACCGCAACCCATCTCTGGGATGGGAAACATCCCAAACACATTCACAAACACACTTATACACTACGGACAATTTAGCCTACCCAATTCATCTGTACCCCATGTCTTTGGACTGTGGGGGAAACCGGTGCACCCGGAGGAAACCCATGCGAAGGGAGGGAGAACATTCAAACTCCTCACAGAAACGCCAACTGAACCGAGGTTTGAACCAGCGACCCAGCGACCTTCTTGCTGTGAGGCGACAGCACTACCTACTGCGCCACTGCTTCGCTGTTTAAAACATAAACCCACCCAAAATGATAAGGCTTGTAACATTAACAAAGATTACATTATATACATTAAAGACTATGCAGTGTTGACTATTCAAATATCTGAACCTGAAAACTTCACAGAAAACTATATATTCACATTTATTTTGACATTATTGTTTTTATCTATGCTTGAAAAGTAAAGTTGTTATACTCACCTTATTCTCCGCATATGAGTGGGCACAGCAATTTGAATTATTTTAGCTAGAGACTTCTGGTCTCATTTACTTCCATTCATTTGTAGTTGTTAAAAACTGCTTGTTTTTCTGCTTGATGTTGCAAACCTCATATTTTCTTCTTATATTATTCTGCTTTGTCTGTATAGTCATGCAAACACTTGCTTGTAGAGCAAGTAGTTTTACCGTTTTCTGCCGTATATTATTCTTACTCATTTCTCCCATAAGAAACTCAATCAGAAGCTATAAAACAATCGCAAAAACGAGCACACTTCCTCATTGAAGAATAAGGTCAATAATATTCGAGATTCACTCCCATACAAAATCACCCTAATGCATCTAAAATAAAGAATTCTTTTCAAATAAAGCTGTATTGACATTGCTATCTACACTCACTGGCCACTTCATTAGGTACACCTTACTAGTACCAGGTTTGGATACTCTTTTGCCTTCAAAACTGCCTTAATCCTTCATGACAGATTTAACATGTTACTGGAAATATTTAAGAGATTTTGGTCCATTTTGACATGATAGCATCACACAATTGCTCAAGATTTGTTAGCTGCACATCCATGATGTGAATCTCCCGTTCCACCACATCCCAAAGCTGCTCTATTGGATTGAGATCTGGTGACTGTGGGGGCTATTTGAGTACAGTGAACTCATTGTTATGTTCAAGAAACCAATCTGAGACAGGAGTGGCACCTGGTGTGATCTGCTGCTGTAGCCCATCCGCCTCAAGGTTGGACATGTTGTGCGTTCAGAGATGCTCTTCTGCATACCTCGGTTGTAACGAGTGGTTATTTGAGTTACCGTTGCCTTTTTCTTAGCTCGAACCAGTCTGGCCATTCTCCTCTGATCTCTGGCATCAACAAGGCATTTACGCCCACAGAACTACCGCTCACTAGATATTTTCTCTTTTTCAGACCACTCTCTGTAAACCCTAGAGATGATTGTGCGTGAAAATCCCAGTAGATCAGCAGTTTCTGAAATACTCAGACCAGCCCATCTGGCACCAACAACCATGCCACATTCAGAGTCATTTAAAAGCTTTCTTCATTCTGATACTCAGTTTGAACTGCAGCAGATCGTCTTGACCATGTCTACATGCATTGAGTTACTGCTATGTGATTGGCTGATTAGAAATTTGCATTAACGAGCAGTTTGTGTACCTTATAAAGTAGCCTGTGAGTGTGTATTGCATAAATACAAAATATCGCAATGTCAGATTTTTCCAATATGGTGCAGCCCTAATTTGGAGATTAATGCAATTAAGTCATATGCAATAATACTGTACATTTATTCAGTGTAATTAAACAACACATTATAAAATAATAATCAGAAATAGTAATCATAATATGATGTCATTGTTTGCTATGTTATCTGTTGAATATTGTTGTCTGAGTAATATTGTCATTCTCTCCAGGTGGTTTCTCATGGTGGACAATATTGTGTCTAATCTCTGGATCAATAGTGGGAGTTAGTCTGGGCTTGCTGTGCTGCATCTACGTGGCCACACTACATGAAAATGACCTGTGGTTTTCCAATATCAAGGTAAAAATCCACAGCTTTTATGTCCAGTGTCGTGAAACAGTCAATATGTGAGAAAACCTACCATTTACGATTCATTTTCTTTTCAATCTTTTTGGTGCTCATTGGCTATGTGCCTAAAATAAACTGCAGCTCCAGAGATCTGAATTCATAGTGTGTGGTTGCATTTAGTCATTGATGTGTTCTCCTTTGCCACATTATTCATGCACTTCCTGTTGAAATAGAATTGTTTTCCATATGTGCTGAAAGACTATTTTTCTTTCCCCATTTTTTTTGCCTAACAGTTTGGGCTGCAGATCATGTTATGACTTCCAGACCTTAAACAGATGAAAGCAGGATGCCAGAAAAGTTATGTCATGTTCAGTTGGATAAATCAGCATGCCCCCGTATCCCAGGTTGCTCATTAAAATAAAGCAGATCAGGAGGAGTTTAACCGTTCCCCAATCAATGCAGGATTTATTTGCCACTGGTTTCGCAATAGATCACCGTTTTTGTTTTCTAGTTATTTATGGAGCAGCTTTGTGACTTTTGTTGGCTCTATTGTTGGAACAAAGGCCTAGATTTCATTTACTGATGCTGGAACAGCAGTCAAACCTGTGCTTCTTAAATGTCAGCACTGAACATTCTGTGCTCATATCATTTTGTCTCTTGAACATATTGCGTCTCATAAATACTTTGATTAACTTCATAGAAACACATAATAACACACTTCTTTTCTGAATGCTGTCAGGATGTTTTAAGATAGTGTTTATTATTTTAAGAAATCGTAATTGTATGAAAAGCATATTTATGGTATGGTTGTCCATCTTCTTCTTCTTCTAATTTCTATATGCATCTGCTCCTAGACCGTTTCTACTACAACCACCAAACTAACACCAAACGTTCAAACTGCTCTATCTCGTGCTGCTATATCTTTTCCAACAGATCCGACTTACGGTTTTCTGAAAACTGTCCCTGAAAAATCGGAAAAGACCAATTGAGTTAACATTGGACCACACTTAGTGACCTCATAACTTTGTGCCAGACTGTCATACAGACTTAAAGTTGGGCTCATTTAACTCAGACTACCAATCTGCCAATTAACAATGACCTTTCAACTTACTAGTCACACCCTAACAATCACTTATGGCTTACCTTAGCAACTGTCTTATAGACTTCCATTGTAAAAAAAACTGCCATTGACTTTACATTTGACATACTGATAACATACCAATTCCTACTAGCAATATACTAATGCATAGACACATACTGACATACTAGCAGCGTGCTAATTCATACTATTACCATAGTAGCAGCATGCTAATTCATTCTATAAATAGTAGCAAAATGCTACTTCATACTATAAACATAGTGACAACATGCTAATTCATAATATAAGTAGCAACCTGCTAATTTATACTAGAAACATTTTAGCGATATGCTAATTTATACTAGAACCATGCAAATTTATGCTAGAAATATGCTAGCAACATGCTAATTCATACTTGAACCCTGGACATTTATGTTAGCAACTGCCTAGCAACCAAATAGAACACCTTAGCAACTGCCTAGCATCACCTTAGCAACCGCTTAGAACACTTTGGCCACCGCCTAGCAACACCTTAGTAACCACCTAGAACACTGTAGCAATGCCTTAGCAACCACTCAGAGCACCATAGCAACCACCTAGCAACCACCACTCAAAACACCATAGCAACACCTTGACAACTACCTAGAACACTCGGGCAATGCCTTAGCAACTGCCAAACAACACCTTAACAACCCCCTATCAACCAATCAGAACACATTAATAACCATGTAGCAACACCTTAGCGACCATCTATCAACCAATCAGAACACCTTAACAACCGCCTAGTAATGCCTTAGCAACCACTCAGAACACCCTAGCAACCGCCCAGCAACACCTTAGCAACCACCTAGAACACCCTCGCGATGCCTTAGCAACCACTCAGAACACCATAGCAACCACCTAGCAACCACTTAAAACACCCTAGCAACATCTTGACAACTACCTGGAATGCTCTAGCAACGCCTTAGCAACCGGCTAACAACCACTCAGAACACCTTAGCAACTGCCTAACAACACATTAAACAGTCAAAACACCCTAGCAACCACTCAGAACACCCTATAAACCGCCTAGCAACACCTCAGCAACCACTCTGAACATCATAGCAACACCTCAGAGCACCCTAGCAAGAAGCACGCCAATCCATACTAGAAACCTGCAAACCTAAATGTACTGTCCTTATCTATCTTAGCCAACTGCTTTAAACTTGATAAAAAATACTTTAAGCTACATCAAACTTTTAAGACAAGGATTTCTCAAGCCACCATAAATTTGTCTACAACTTTATTTTTCTAGTTAATAATAATTATGCTGGAACACATTGCTAAATATGTAATGTTTTTAATTCTAGGTTAACGGCAACATAAACTGGACACCACAGACTCATATTTCTGCAGGACCTGCAACTCCACATACTTGGTTTAGACTTACTAACATAGTTTAGATCAGTTAGTAATAGCTAAATATACAGTTTAAGATAATACAGAGGTATTTGTGATTGGAAAAGTCCTTTTTGTTATGTCTGGTTTATATAGTACAGCCTGTGGTATGCAAAGCACAAAAGGTCATCTCGGGTTTAAAATTAAGTCAGAGTGCAACAGCAGTGGAAAAAGGAAGCACATGCAACGCTGACTGCTATTTTATGCCTTGCTTATGAGTCATCCTACTTTCATCTGCGCTCTTGCTTTTCTGAACGGGACTGGAGGCTTGTGAATGTTTTGCGCAAAGGGACTAGAAGACAACAGTTTTGGTCCCCATGTGTTTCTTTCATTCTCAAAGGTTGAAGAACTGAGTGGGATTTTAAGGCACAGTGAGCTGCATTTGGAAGAAAACAATCCATTTTTTTCAGGGGAAGAGTCCACTGCACTGTAAAAAAAATGTCTGTTAATTATTAGTTTTCATATTTTATTATTTACATTTTTGGGGGATTATTTACAGCAGGGAGGCAATGATTAATCGATTTCACTAATAACCACTATTTAATTCATCAAGGTTAATTAATCGTAAAGGCTTCTCAACACTGCGGCACAGAACAAAACTGCTGCAGCTAAACAAAGTTATGCCAACTGTGCACTAGTTTAAAGTTCTGAGGTTAACTCACGCACACATGGTTTAACAATGGCTAATGCTATTAACTAAGGACTGTTCACATATTGCATATTTTGTACGCGCAAGTTCGTTTCTAATGGAGGCTTGAGCTCACATTTTAGGAGTGACGTGAGCGTGCTGTGACACACTCCTGTGCACCTAGTTGAAAACAACTAAACTTTTCAGAATGCTGTGAGCGCACCGCGAGTCACATGACAAGAACTGACCGGTCAGCTTCATACTTTGTATGGAATGTACACATTTCTGCTCACATCCAAAAAGAAAAATAAATACAAAATGAAAATCCCAAACATTTTTTGTAATATGGTTGATCTAAAGCACCTTTCAGACTGAAGGTTCAGCAGCCTTTGACTACATTTGTTCTTTTTAAAAGGAAAATACTTCCATTTAAATAAGAAATACTTATAATAGATTAACATTAGACAAATACTATTTTTTATTTATTTATTCCTTTTTGTTATTTTTTTTTGTTTAAAATGATTACTTGTTTAAATGTCAAAAACTTTTTTTCACTTATTTTTAAGTCCAAAGAGAAATGGACTATTGTTTGTTTTTAATATTATAAAACTATTAGTGTTTTAATGAATTATTGCATGATAACCGTGAAACAGTAATTATTCCTCAGACTATAATTGTACAACCAAATACTATAATCGGTGCATTCCTAATTGATAGTGAATTGTATTAAGGGATGTTGATTTCTGCTCTGAAAATTCAACTGTGCATTTAATCAAAGTGACTATTACTTAAATGTAGTGGTTTTATACAATATATTGTGAAATAAATAATATATAGAGAATTAAGTCTGTAAAATAACAGGAAAGAAATACTGGTAGTTTATTATCAGGTTTTAGAATTAATATTTACAACACATAACCAGACAATATATCACATCAAACTATAAAATATGTAAATAAAAGTAGCTTTTTAAAACTTTTCAACAATTAAAGTTCTTGGTAGGAAGATCAAAGTCCCACAATGCGATTAAAAAGCATGAATAAATTATAATTATTAATAATATTAATATTAATATAATATTAGTATGATAATACTACTACTACTACTACTACTACTACTACTACTAATAATAATAATAAAATACAATAAAGATAATAATATTAATAAAAAAAATGTTAATAAAATATAATAATAATAATAATAATAATAATAATAATAATAATAATAATAATAATAATAATAATAATCCAATGGCGTAGTGGAAAGTGCATTGACATATGCACTCCGGTGCGCACAGCCACCCATATTCAATTCCTACCTAGAGGTCTTATGGTGATCCTTCCCCTCTCTCTGCTCCCCACACTTTTATGTCAATTCTCTCTACTGTCCAATCCAATAAAGGTAAAAACCCATAATAATACATCACCTTAGAATTATAAGGTTCTATCTGACAATTTTTTTAAAACTAAGTTATTGACATATTTTTATTAAATGAAAACTTATTTACATTATGGGATGTTTTTTTTATAAGTTTTTATAAGACTTGATTTAAAAAACAAATTTTACACACATACTGTTTGCTATGTGGAATGTAAAAAGCTCAATATCTCAAAATCATTCAGAACACAGATAGAACCTTAGGGTGATGAATAATATTAATAGTAAAAGATGGAAACTTGTTAGTTTATTGTTAATATTATATTATTTATTAAGATATTGTTTAGCAGCTATTCAAATGTGACTGCAGAGATCCTGAGTAAGTCTGCAGTGTTTTCATAATGGTTTCCATTGTTTCAGTGTAAACCAGGAGTACATTTCACAGGGGCTTTGTAAATGTTTTTAGCAGGAGTCTGTCTTCCAGAATCGTAACAATTTAGTAAATGATGATTTTGCCATGATATCTGATCAAAGGTGTTTGATGTCCAATTTGTTCCTCCTCTGGGACTCCGCTCTACAGCAGGAGACAGCTGCTTTTAGGACTCTCTTAAATTCGCTGCATGTGATGTCATGCCCATGTTTAGCACAGTACAGTGTTAATCTGTAATAGTTTTTACAAATGCTCTGTACTTTCTAAATCATGTTCCAAGCGTTTCCCCCCATCTTTTTTTAATATATATATTTTTTTCCCTTGGCTACCAAGAGGTCACCAGTTGTGCGGCCCACATGCCTTCCTTCCTGTCTCAGCCCCTTTCTCTGATCACATGTAAAATGTTCCTCCAGCAGATTGCTGTTTGGTGCCGACTGGAGCTTAGAATGATCTCACGAGGTCGTGTTTTATTGTTTTAATACGTGCACTATGAAGTTTTTGGGCACGTCGCTCTGGAAAGACAGATAAACAAAAGAGCTTACGGTCTCAAACGGGGAACGACAAAAAGAAAGACAGAGAAGACGGAGGATAATAATACTTAAAAATGAGGGCTTGTCGCAGCAGGAAGAGCAATTCAGATGATAACTCGGGGAGCGCCCTACATAGACCACCTTTGGTAAACTTTGGGACAAAAGACAATTCGAGGGTTTACAAATCTGGGCAGAGGGGCATAGAAGAGTGTCTTAAGCTTTCATGGATTCACATTCTGGGACCAAACTGTTGGCCGGCTGTTGTCATAGCAGCAGGATTACTGTTGGCAGGGGTTATCGGGCTGTTTCATGCATGGTGTGTTTATTCTATACACGAAAACTTGCTGTGGTTTTCACACTTAAAGGTAAGCAGAAGCAGGATTTGTCTTCGTTTTTGTTGCTGAATGCACTGGTAAATAAAGATGTAAAGGTTAGCTCTTTGTGTTAGGACAAGCGGTTTTGAGTCGGTCATCATACTTTTTTTTTAGACAGTGATTATTTCGCAGTACCTAACTGAGGACATCAGATGTAATAGCATCTAAGTGCCATCTAAAATGTTCCTTCTATGTGTTAACTCAGTAATTTCTCTTTTATAGCAGAGAGGTTTCTTTTATTGTCTCTAAAGTGAAACATAAACATAGGAGGCGGCAAAAACTGCACATTTTAGAAGATATTTTCATCTTAGATCTCATTTTCATATTTTCATTTAGTCCATTAACCTTATACGTCTCCCACCTTGATAGCAGTGTAAATGTTTTGTTATAGATTGTGAACTCAATAAGTACACTGCATTTATTTTTTGATGTAAGTACATTGTAGTTAAGGCCACTTAAAATAAAGTGAGACCTAAATTGTTGCTTGTAGAATATACCCAGCTGGCACACAACATCATAATACGGTATTATGACTATTTAGTTCATCACGTCAGGTGAACAAAATTCAATGTCTAGGCAGGGTCTAAGGGCAAGGTTATTTTGACGTCTAATAACGACGTCAAATTACGTTGATATTTGGTTGATTTTAGGTTGGACATTGATGTTGGCCTGATGTTTGGGTACAACTTCAATATGACATCATGTTGACGTTCTGTGCCCGCAGGGTACTGTATCAAAACATTGATCAGACCTGTAGCCAAGGGAGTTTGGGGAGTTCGAAAGACCCACCCTCACCGACAAAGGTCCAAATTTGTCCTATTATTTTTCCTATTTTGGCCGCTATGCCATCACAAATTTTGAAAATGACCCATCGGATCCTCTGTTGGCTCTCGTGACTTTTAATCAAACTATTTTAGACCGTCGTGTTGAATTTTTGCCGCTTTTTGTGACAAGATAGTCTACACACACGACTTCCTGACCTACCGAGTACATCTGAGTTACTGAGAAATGCAGAGGTTTTTTTCTCTTATACAATGTGCGGTATCAAATGTTCCACTGTCATTAAATGCAGTCACTGTCTTTCTCCCCTGAGTCTGTGTGTTTGTTTTGCCTCTGTGAAATCAGCGCGTGCCCAAATGGAAACTCCCATTTTTATTCAAATCCTTCCCTCTTTTCCCTACCCGACACTCCCACCTAAACAGAGCTAGACACACCCACTTTCCTGACTTTTTCTAAATTATAGGTGTGAAAACACCCTGCTAAAACAGGGGGGTTTCATGGCCCTTTAAAATGTCATTAAATTGCAGTATTTAAATCTCATAATTAAATAGAAAATGAGGTGCATAACTCCAAAAAGGTCTACATTTTGATAAAAAACAAACAAAAGAAACATGCCTTTCAGCAGGCTAGCTACAGGCCTTTTGATATTTGTGATTGTGTATTTTTATGGAATCAGTATTAAAAAAAACATGTCATTTGTAACATTTGAAGTGTAATGTAGTGCAATATTCATTTTAACTTTTGCACTGTATAAAGCTAGCGGTCACTATTGTTCCCATGGTTGTGTTTACTAACTTTATGACCACACTTAACAAAAAAAAAAAAATAATCATCCTTAATTAAAATATATTGATTCTTGACAATAGGGCTGCACAATTTTATATTGCTGATATTGCGATATTTTATCTTTCTGCGATATATATTGCGATATGAATACAGTTTCACAATATGGCTTGAATAGCATTATTTGATGGTTTTCTGGGGAGTCCAACAGTATTCTGGGGAACAGAAATTGAATAATCACCTTTGTTTTGTCTTGTTTCTAGTCCAAATATTCTTAGACCAAGTAAAAATATTGTTTAGTTTTCACCGTCAGAAGGAAAAAGTGAAAATTAAGAGATTTTTGTTATTGCTTGTTTTAAGAAAATTATTTGCTGTGGAGCAAGTGAAATAATCTTGTTTTTACTATTAAATGAATACATTTGGACTAGAAACAAGATTAAAAATCTAAGTAAGAAATGTTTTTGTATAAATCATAAAAAGTCCAAATAAATACAGTGATTAAATACAATTGTGTAGCTCCTGGTCGACTATAATATAGACTGGACATTGTATATCTTTGCAATGTAACTATTGTGGATGCGCACATTGCAATATCGATGCTGAAACGATATATTATGCAGCCCTACTAGACAACTAGATGATCATACTGTATATACAGTGACTCTTTGTCATATATTTTTTTAAACATGTTTACTAACTTTTTGTTTTGGAGCTTTGATACAGCCATCATCTTCTTATACTTTAAACAGATGCATTATCCATGCAACTCTGCTCGTATTTAGTTTATTTTCCATATTTAAAGAAAATACACAAAAACACCTGTCAGTAAATTTTATTTTATGAATGAAAGCTCTTGCTATAACTCTTGTGACATGGGATTTTAAAATGTGCTGTTTTTATTAGAACTAAACTATAAGTGAAACTCGTCTCTTAAAACTGCATTTTTGTTGTTGCATATCAACTTTTTGGTCTGGATTGAGTTTAGTTCTGAAAACTGCTTCCACTATAAAACCCAGCATATTTACAACACCTGTTTTCTTTTCTTTCTCAAGACTTTTATTGCGTATGAAATCTGTTTATTCTGTTCCAATATCTGCTCTGATTTCTCTCTCAGATGGGAAATGTATTTCATTTTAACACCATTTACCCATGTTGTGCTTCTTGTCATAGTTCATTTCTAACTGAATCTTATCCTCTCTTCCTGCATTGGTAGGAAGTGGAGCGTGAAATCTCTTTCCGGACAGAATGTGGCCTTTATTACTCCTACTACAAACAGATGCTGAAGGCCCCTACTATACAGCAAGGTACTGAGATTTACTCTCAAGACATATTGACTAGTTTTATGATCAATCCTGCGTCATGTCATCTTACTGATCACTGATGTTGAAGTCCTTGGCTTTTATTTTTAAGTTGAAATATTGCTCCTGTACTGTCAGGGAAGAAAAAAAGCACCTTCAGGCGTACATCAGTTTATCATTGGGCAAGCATCCTAAAAAGTACAACTTGGTACTTTTTCTACACCACAAAATGTGCAATTTTGTACATTAGTAGTAGTAAATGTACCCCTCAGGTGCTACTGTGAGCTTCTCTGAGTAAATAATGTACAAATATAATGTTATTTTAATGGTACTTCCCCACTTATAAGCTGTTACACCAATAAAAGTACAATCTGCACATTTATTTCTGAGAGTGTAGAGGGCGATTCTTATTTAATTGTAATTTATGTATACAACATGTTCATATATCTAAGATCCAATTTTTGTTTTTCCCTATTCATATATTAAGCTTGGTACATAACGGCAAATGTCTTGAGCCACACTTTCTGCTTTCCTTTATCACTACGTAATTCGAGAGCTATCGAAGGAATGTTTCATTATGTAACCATATCAGCGTGACTGGTCTTAGAAAATAGAGGAAATGCACAACTTTGCTCTAAGTGGTCTATGCTCAAGCTAATTGGCTTAACGGCCCCATTTGGAATGGATTTTCTTTGTGCTCCTGCACTGAAAAACACCACAATTAGGTCATTACCCATTGAGACTGAGATGGTAAGAACCGCCGCGGTGCCAAAAGCTGATCTCTAGACACCACTACAATTGGGCTTTTGTGCTAATAGTAGAGTAAAAGCATGTTCATAGCATTGCTTTTCTATTAAGCAGGCTTAGAAATTGATTACTGTAAACGTCACAGCTGTAGTACTATGTGCAGTGGTATTAATACAATTGAGGTTGTAAAAAAAAATGAAATTCAATTCGATTATGCTGTTTACAGTAATGGAAGCCTTTAAACACCTTCCTGCTGTTCAAAGGCAAAATATAATAGTAATGTTAGCTGTGTTGTGACAGATGGGTTTGGCTCAACGACGCTCAGTGTCAGAGCAAAGTGACATTGACAGTTGAGGATATCATTCTGGTATAGATATAAGACACTTCTTTGTGGTTTGTGAACATCACTACACTATATATTTCTTAATTTCTATCAATGTTTTAGCAATAACAAATATTAACTTGACTTCTAGTTGATCATTTGGTATCAGAAGTGACTTACATAAAAGGCGAAGGCCTCTAGATTACGCTTATTTTACCAAAATAAAATATGATCATGCCTTGATTTTTAATTATTTAATTAGGACAGTAAGGTCTGACTTTGCTTAGACAAAAGTCTTGTCACTTAACAGAAATAATGTACAGTATAGAATGTAAAGTCATGCTGCAGTGGAAAAGGAATCAAAATTGTGCATGACTCCCATGAGCTTGGAGGACTGCATCCATACGTCTCTGCAATGACTCAAATAACGTATTAATAAAGTCATCTGGAATGCCAAAGAAAGCATTCTTGAAGGACTCCCAGAGTTCATCAAGATACTTTGGATTCATCTTTAAAGCCTCCTTCTTCATCTTACCCCAGACATGCTCAATAATGTTCATTTCTGGTGACTGCGCTGGCCAATCCTGGAGCACCTTGACCATCTTTGCTCTCAGGAACTTTGATGTCAAGGCTGAAGTATGAGAAGGAGTGTTATCCTGCTGAAGAATTTGTCCTCTCCTGTGGTTTGTAATGTGACGGGCGGCACAAATGTCTTGATACCTCAGGCTGTTGATGTTGCCGTCCACCCTACAGATCTCGCGCATGCCCTCATAATATGTCAAAATCTTCTGTTCGACAGTAATAAAAAAAGTACATATTCATCTGTATTTTAGAGTTATTTGTGTGACACTAAAGCAAAATAAATTATAATAATTACAAACCTTTTTTTTTTTTTTTTCCTACCCTAAAACTTTGTTTCATCAGTTTGAGTTCATACTAATTTGTAAAAGTTTGACTTACAAATGTCCAAAGTTTGACTTGTGTGTGTTCTTGTGTCCACAGGTCTCTATGAGCTTACTCATGACAACACTACAGAATCCAAGAGGACAATAAACATCCTACAGCGCATGAACATCTACCAAGAGGTGTTTCTTAGCATTTTGTACAGGATACTTCCAATCCAGGTGTCAAATCACTTCTGTGTACTTTGTAAGATCTATAAATCATCTTGGATGTTTGACAGAATTGCTTATTTTTTCTTTCGTGTATGGGTTTTATTTTCAGACGTACTTGGAGCCAATTTATTTCTACATCTACACAGTGTTTGCTTTGCAGACAGTGTATGTCATTGCTCTCTTTATCACTAGCTGGTTACTCAGTGACTCGTGGCTGGCTGGAGCCCTCAGTGGAGTCTGGTATATTCTCAACAGGTATGTGCGTGTGTGTGTGTGTGTGTGTGTGTGCTCAACGAGATTATAATCAGTCTCTCGTATGCACAGAATTCACCTTCGCAGTCCATCTGGCAGGAGTAAATGCTTATTGTGATGCAGTGAGCATCTGAATCCAGGTATAGGTTTCTCTAAAATCTGAATTAAATCTTTCAAAGACGATTAGGGCTGTAGGCCATTTTGACATTTTAGGGCTCCTTTATTCAATGTCACAAGCAACCTGATAAGATTTTTTCCTCCTGGGGCGGTCTCAATATTTTTGAAGCTCTCTTTTGAATGCACAATACACAATACAAATAGTCTCCACTCTAAACTATTGGTTAAAATGGTTGGGACGCTTAATCAAGCAAAGCAATGTTTTGGTCACAGTCTTTTTTTACACTTGCTTATTAAATTACTTTCTACAGAATTTTAGAACAGTCTAGGATTGAAAAAGTACACATTTACATCTGTTTTCTTTTGTTTCTCCTCCCATTAAGCCTACTTTTCTGTGTTTTATTGACTTCTTTTTTTGCAGAGTGGACACCACACGTGTGGAGTTTACCATTTCTCTAAGGGAGAACTGGTCGATACCGTTCTTTGCTCTTCAGGTGGCTGCCATAACCTGCTACTTAAGGCCAAAGCTTAAACCTATTCACCAGGTAAACGTCTGTCCTGATAAATTTATATGTCAATACTTGAAACCGTTACCAAATGATTCAGATTATTCATGGGAAGTCAGATTCTTTATTCCAAATATTTGCTTAGACTCGTTTTACTGAACAAGTAACAGATTTTCAAATTACATTTAAAGATTTTTTACATTATATGTACAGTATGTGATTTCATCTGTGCTTGTAATGTGGTAGCTTTTTAAACAGCATATTGGCAAACATTATTGAGTATCTCACTAGTTTTTTTTTATGTTAAACACAAATAAAGATATTTTGAGAATTGCTGGAAACCTGTAACCATTGATTTTCATAGTATTTGTTTTTTATGCTATGGGTGTCAGTGGTTACAGGTTTTCAGCATTCTTCAAACTGTCATCTTTTGTATTCAATACAAAAAAAAAAAAGTTGAGAGTCAGTAAATAGTGAGTAAAATTTAATTTTTGGGTGAATTATCCCTACTATGAGTCCCATACTGTAATGGCAATATACCTGAATTTTCCTGTAAACCTCCCTGATTCCTGATCCCTTGGTCTTTTGATTATTATATTTGATAATTTAATATAGTTAGATAATGTTACACCATTAAATATGACATTGAATTTTTTTTTTTTTCACAAACACTAGGGTAATATTAGCACTAGAACAGTCAGTTTTACCCATCGCTGTTAATCAAATGTACATAACAGATCTTCAAAAAAACAAAAAAAAAACATTCAAGCCTCCCAGTCATTGACTTTTATTAAAATTGCCTTGTTTACAATTCCCAGATATTAAAAATTGTTTAGATAAAAATAGATTCAAAAGTGGGACATTTTTACCTATAAGCACCAGCGTGGGTCAAATTTACCCACTATATATAAAAATGCTTGTATTTATGCACTGCTTATGTTTGAAATTACTCACCAATGACTTTTAATTTTACTTACTAAATTAGTGGTTATGATAAATGAATAAAGTCACAATGACTATAAGAAGGTGAAAATGCAATGAATGATGAAGAGTCTGGAGAAAGATATTAAGGGTGTCTGTATGTTTTTATGTTCTGCAGAGCAGGAATCTGCTAAGTCAGGCCCGATTATCTTTTAATCTTTTCCTGTTTAAAATTATAAATGAATAAGTGACTATACTTTTTAGACACAACATGGGCTTTCTCACTGGTGACGGTGCACATGCAGAGAAAATGTTCTCTGGGGATCAGCCTGCTGGCTTCATCCTATAACCTAGTTTCTTTAACTATCCAAGGCAAAGACACATAGATATTATTTATGGTATTTTAGTTTTATTTTGTGCTATAAAAATGGTTCCAAACATGTTCAGAACTGAACATTTGTGCATCTTATTGCAACCCTGTGGTGTTGTCTTCCTGAACAAATGAAATGAGCAAGTCATTTTGAACCAATCAATGTTGGTTTTAATCAATGATTCATTTATTAACATGGGCCACCTACTGGCAGTATGTGTGTTATATTTATACGGTAAATTACAGGTCTAAACTAACCAAGATACCAACACAGAAAACAAAATTAAGCTAAATAATGTCTATTCTTTGTTATTAAATCAGAAAATTCACACAATTTTTCAAAATGTTTTTTTTTTTTTTACATCATCATAGAATGATACCAGTGATGTGCAGTGTTGGAGGTTACACATTACAAGTAACGCAAGTTACATAATAATACTCGTTTTTTAAGTAACAAGTAAAGTAACACATTACTTTAAAAAATTAAGTAGTAATAATTGAGTTACTTTTTAAAAACAGTGATGCAAGTTACTTTTTACTTTTATCAATGAAGAATAAAATGAAGGTAGTCGCGTGAAATCTCACATGCAATAGGATATAGGAACAGACAGAAATGTAGACAGAACACAGCTGCCGTTTAGCAGCGTCACTCATCGGTGAACAGCGCCATAGCATTAGAGCCAATTGCAGCCCTTTCTGTTGAGCACGTGACCAATCATAAGAGTGTAAGAACTCGCTTGACAAGGCTCAGTAAGCTAGCAGGATATTTACATTTGTACTTGAGTAACCACAGGTCCTCAAGTAAACACAGGTCCTATATGTGCCGTTTACGGATATTTCAATTAATATGGAAAACGAGTGCATGTTTTTATCTAAACAAATATTGAATTTTCTTAAATGTGTGTGCATGTAAAACAATATAATATGCACAAAAATTATAGGGTTTTTCTTTAAAGAAGTTACTCCACCTCTTTAACAACATTAATATGGACCCCTAGTAGCAAAGAATTCTGGCCCAGATTTGGCAAAAAGCTGGCACAGCAGGCAATCATCCGGCACTGGCATACAGCATGTGGGCCAAACATGGCCCGGGTTTGGCAGAGGTGGCACCGTTTTTAAGGCGGCACACAAGATTTGGGCCAGATGAAAAACGTAGTATTTGGCCCAGATTTAAAAATTTGATAAGTGGGCCATGTGAGTTTGGCCAGTCTTGACCCACATTTAAAATACACTAAAATCATTTTTGAGTAAAGAAAAAAAATTCTACCAATCAGGTCACTTTGATAAAAAGCGTGCCCATAGTGTGCCTAAAGCGCATCACTCCATGGGTTTATCAATTTCATTGCAATCGTGACACACCAACCTATCTGGCCCAGTTCAGGCCCAGTTATGAGTTATTAACTTGGCTGAGACTTGGCCCAGATATGGTCTGTGTTTGGCCCTTGTCTGGAAGCCAGATTTGGTCCAGTCATGTACCGTAATTCACTGCGGCATGCGGGCCAAGCAAAACCTGATTGTGTGGGCCAGAGCTGGGCCAGAGAAATTTTGCTATGTGGGCACGTTTTTCGTTATAACTAACATGGTTCAAATGATGGTTCTGCGACAAAGCAGCTACAGTTCTGGGAAACACTCGCCACTACATCATTCTTTTCCCAAACAATGCATCGTACTATGATAGTTCATCCACAGAATTATGTCGTTGCTTGAGAAACGCACCACTGACTAGTTATTAGACTGGATTAGAATTAAATTTGTAATTTTTCTAAACATTTTCAGTGAAAAATGGGGAAAACTTTCGAAAGCATTATTTTTAAATAGTCATTAACTACCATTAAAAGTATATACAGTAATAAATGTTGTTTGTTGATTTTTCATGTTAGTAAATGCATTAACAAATGAATTTTAATGTAAAGTGTTAACATAATTGAAATAACTGAGGAAACAAGAGACAGTAAGCAGTGATAAATGTTTCTGACTGCTCGCTGCTGTTGCAGAATAGTTTTGTGAAATATGAAATGGAGGTTTGCAATAGCAAGTGTACGTCTGAAATATTTACCCTGCTGAACAAATATTTGTTCTCTCTCAGTATGTTCTCTCAGCTCAAACTCTTAATTGCTTTCCTGACATATGGTGTATATCACAGGAAAAATTATAATTTTATAAGCTCTGAATAAAAAAAAAGAAGCTTTTTTGTATGTTTGGCTGTCTGAGTGGAACATCATTTTCCTTTCATGCGCTCTCAATCACAGAGGGTGGTGTTGTGGCTGGTGTTCGTCTCCACCTTCTGCTTCTGTTTGACATGGCAGTTCAATCAGTTTGTCCTACTGGTGCAGGCCCTTATAATCTACACTTTGGATTGCCTGGACTTCCTCACAGCAGAACAGGTAACGCTCAATGCACGAAGACTGGAGACTTTTTGTAGTTCATGCAGGGTTGGATATTCATTTCTTTCTCTCTGTAGGTGGTCTCTCTGTACCTGATGCAGGTGTCGAGTCTGTTATTGGTGTGGTTACTGCAGTTCTGCAACTCTATGATTTTGGGCTCTCTGGTGCTCAGCTTCATTGTGTCTGCTCTCTTCATCAAACACTTTCAGGTCAGTAAATGTCGCAGTGCATGGATCTACATGATGGCTCAGAATGAGGCACAATTTTCATGCCAGTTTGCCAATTTTTTTGCTACTTGAAATGAGCACATTTTGCATTATTCTTGTAAAATAACATCTAATGTAAATAAATACATGGCCAGTGCTTAAACATCACTTGGGCTCTGTCCATAGTTGTGATTGCTTGCCTGATTTTTGTCAAAAGGCAGAGCTGCTACAAAATTTGATGGAGGTGGCCACTTTGTAATTCTCTATGCAGAAAAAAACACCTGTAGATGCAAAAACCTTTGGGTGCCATCAAAAATCTTTTAAAATGAGCATTTTGGTAAACCTCCTGTTCATGCTCTGTTATTTTTACTTTAAATGATTAGAAAATAACCTGTTTTTATGGCATGAAAGTACAATTATAGAACCTGCACACTGGAGAAAAATCATTTTCAGATGGAACAAAAATAATAACACGCAGACATTCACTGGTCACTTTATTAGGTACACCTTACTAGTACCGGGTTGGACCCCCTTTTTGCGTTCAGAACTGCCTTAATCCTTCATGGCAGAGATTCAACAAGGTACTGGAAATATTTCTCAGAGATTTTGGTCCATGTTGACATGAGAGCATCACACAGTTGCGGATTTGTTGGCTGCAAATCTTCTGTTCCACCACATTCCAAAAGTGCTGTATTGGATTGAGATCTGGTGACTGTGGAGGCCATTTGAGTATGTTCAAGAAACCAGTCTGAGATGATTTGCGCTTTATGACATGGCGCGTTATTCTGCTGGAAGTAGCAATCAGAAGATGGGTACACTGTGGTCATAAAGGGATGGACATGGTTAGCAATAATCCTCAGGTAGGCTGTGGCGTTGACACGATGCTCAATTGGTACAAATGGGCCCAAAATATGCCTAGGAAATTTCCCCCGCACCATTACACCACCAGCCTGAACCGTTGATACAGGGCAGGATGGATCCATGCTTTTATGTTGTTGACACCAAATTCTGACTCTACCATCTGAATGTCGCAGCAGAACTCGAGACTCCTCAGACCTGGCAACATTTTTCCAATCTTTTATTGTTCAATTTCAGTGAGCCTGTGCGAATTGTAGTCTCAGTTTTCTGCTCTTAGCTGACAGGATGGCACCCGTTGTGGTCTTCTGCTGCTGTAGTCCATCCGCTTCAAGGTTGGACGTGTTGTGCATTCAGAAATGGTCTTCTGCATACCTCGGCTGTAATAAGTGGTTATTTCAGTTACTGTTGCCTTTCCATCCGCTCAAACCAGTCAGGCCATTATCCACTGACCTCTGGCATCAACAAGGCTTTTGCAGCCACAAAACTGTCGCTCACTGGATATTTTCTCGTTTTCAGACCATTCTCTGTAAACCCAAGAGGTGTTTGTATGTGAAAATCCCAGTAGATCAGCAGTTTCTGAAATACTCAGACCAGCCCATTTGGCACCAACAACCATGCCACATTCAAAGTCACTTAAATACATCTTTCTTTCCGATTCTAATGCCCAGTTTGACCTGCAGCAGCAGATTGTTTGGACCATGCCTACATGCCTAAATGCATTGGGATGCTGCCATGTGATTGGCTGATTAGAAATTTGCGTTAACGAGCAGTTGGATGGGTGCATCTAATAAAGTGGCCCGTGAGTGTGTATATATATATATATATATATATATATATATATATATATATATATATATATATATATATATATATATGGTTTAGAACCAGGAAGCTTCAGTAATCCTCCGGGGAGTATCACAAAATAACAACAACAAAAATATCCATATTGCTATTTAATCTTATTTTAATTCATAGATTTAATATTTAATTTATGAACACCACATTTCTTTGATCGAGCAGGCCATTTCTCAATTGTTATTATTATTATTATTTTTAAAATAAAAAGTGTCTGAAAATGCCAAACCACTGCAAGAATGTACTGTGTAATATTCAGCAACTCCTTTTTTAAAATTAAGTTAAAAAATGTCACTTTTGAGAAATGAAAATTATAGTAAAGGTATGGATGATTACAGTGCTTTGCAGGAGTTGTGCATTAGACATGCATGAGTCTGTTATTATTTATGTGCAAACAGACCGGTAATATGTGTGCTCTCAGTGCACTGATTACTATAATACTGTATTCAAGCATGAACACATTCCAGTATATATTCTCATAGGAGTTAGAATTAATGCACTTTTTCAATTCATTTTTCATCGTGTTGTACTCGCGTAAATGTCTGCTTCCAAGATGTTAGCAACTGTTTTCTTTTAGCCTCCTAATTTGGAAACAAAATTTATACCAATCGCAGAGAGATCGCCTCCTGCGTCATTCAAATCAAGAGTATGAAAGCATTTGAGCTTCCCTGTGAAATATAATGATCATGGAAAAACGGGCCTAAACGCTTTCTTAGGCTATTAATGAAAGTTTTTAATTGTTTTTGAATTTTCAATCATACATTGAAAATAAATATGATATGTTGTACAAGAAGTTAGATTTTTTGCATTTTCAGTAACAGTAGCAAAGATCATTTTTTGTATTGAATGTTTTTTTTTCAGCTGATTCTTTCTTGATTTTTATTTTTATTAAAATGTTCTAAGTTCTGTTTGTTAAAACCAATGTTTTTTGCAGTAATATTTTTGTCTCCTCCCTTTTTTGCTAATCCTAAAAATGGTCCGATCCGTGACTCAAACACCGTAGTGTGATCTGAACTGTGAGATTTGTGATCCTTTACACCAATACGGGCCAGTAACAATTCTGTCTACTGTCCCCAGCATCTCTCACACTGGCCCATCAGGCAGTCATTATTGTTGAGCGCTGTGCATAATTATTGAATTTAATTTACTATTGTATATACAGTATATTAGAATAAGATACTAAAACTCAATTAAGATATAGAAGGAATACCAAAAAAAAAATCTGATATAAAAACATTTACAAAATGCCAATGTCCAATAAAATGAACAAATTTATAACCAGTGTTAAATAAAAAAATAATTATGATTATAATTAATTAATTAGTTTGATTAAAAAAAAAAAAACACAGAGAAAAATAATGCTGATAATTTTTAACTGAATAGATGGAGTAAGGAAAATGGGGGGTCTTAAAGTTTTGATTCAGAGAGGAGGTGGCTTTGAGTATATCCTGCATGTTAATCTAGTCTTTAAAATATCAGATGGCAAACATGATTGAATAATTTACAGGTGATCTTCTTGCAGGGATGTTACGAAACAGAACTGAAATGCATTTTTTTTATGTGTGCAGATATTCTTATTCTATTAATCCCATATGTTCATGTTTGACTTTCCTGGTTACTGAATTGCCACAGTTAAACATATGATATAATAAGTCACGTAACAGCAATGCATAAATACAGTATCTCTGCTTATCTACAGACCCGAAAACAATTGCTTTCATGACATTTCTTGATAATGCATCCCATCGCAATAGGGCTTTAGGCTACAAAATGTTTACATGAGGTACTTTATCACTTTTTGTTTTGCTCTTCAAGCCTTATCTTTGTTTCCTAACACCCTGTTTTGTTTTGATTGAAACCAGCCGCTTGGAATATTGTTGTAGTTTTATATATTAATACCTGCTGTGTGTGTATGTGTGTGTGGCTTTCAGACAGGGCTAAAGATGGGCGGCTTTGTTATACGAGTAGGAAAACTGGCTCTCCACACACTCCTAGTCCTCGCATTAACTTTCACCATCAATTATTCAGCCAAGGTGAGCTATGAATCGTGTTCTACAGCGTGCGCCCTGTCATTAATGATAAAATAGAGCTTCTCTACCTGCTCTTCCCAAGACACCAGCTTTACTTTCAGTCTCATTGTCTTCCTTCATATCTCACGCTCATAAAAACCCACATCGGCCATCTCACGAGACGCTCCCCTGAGTGATTTCATCCTTCACTCTCTCCTTTTTAATTGACAGAAAGTACTCCAGCTCAAATCTGACGAGCACATCTTCAAGTTCATAAAGGCCAAGTTTGGCTTCGGGGCAACGAGGTAAGTCTTTGGTCATCTCTCAGGGCGCTACATCTAAGCCTTTTATCATCAGTCAAATGCCATATCGTGGTGTCTTATTCAGAAGTGAGATCTGCTCGGAGACTGGAGCAAGCCATTAATCCACTGTGATTAAATGCGTCCAGCTCTGGTGGAAAAATAACATCTGGCACGCAACGTAATCTGCTCATCCGCTAGATATTTATGGAGCCATTTGAGTTGATCAGATGAATTGCTGCTCCCAATAATCTGTATAATATATATCCAAGCGCACTCCCTCCCTGCCTCTTTCTTTCAGAGACTTTGATGCCAGTCTCTATCTGTGCGAAGAGGCATTTGGCTTGTTGCCATTGGATACATTCGAGCGGTTGGCTGGCACGGTGCTGCTCTATCCGTATCTCTGCACCCTCAGTGTGCTCTTCATCTTACTGCTGCTGGTGGCACTCTCTAATCTCAGGTAAAAGTACTGCATCGCTTCCCTCTCTGCGAGAAACCGCTCAAGTGCAATGCCTCGCCGTATGCTGCGCATTAACCAGATATGTTTTTGCAAATTTAAATATTCTCCTAATGTTCCGTTTACTAATTAGAGTGCAGCAATAGGGTGAGAAATGACCAGAAGAGCCGCGATTATAGCTTCATAACCACCCCGTCCACCACAGGTCACGATGCTAATTTATAATTAGAGTTATTAGTCTTTATTAGATGCGCTACATAATAGATGTGGTTTTTTTTTTCCATTAGGGCTTTTGAATGTGTTATTATGCTTAGTTCAAAGCTGATTTGTTGTTGCTTTAAGGGTTGCAGTGGCCCTCTTTTTGTTCTCTTCCCTTATCAGAATCAAATGAGCCCACAAAAACCCAGAGGCGAGCTCACACTCACATGCACGCACACATATAGTCTATATATACCATCTTTCAAAATCAATGAAAATGGAACAGGTTGCTGGTTAAATAGGGTTTGTCACTATATGTAGTTTATTTTTATGTTTATTAATATTATTGTTTACCAACGCGAACATGGGGAGAACATTCAGTCTCCACACAGTAATGCCACCTACTTGCTTCGAGGTGACAGTGCTAACCACTGAGCTCTTATGTGGTTTATTTTGATAGATTATGTACTCTAACAGGGTGTCCGCGGGGTCCTAAAAAAGTATTAAAAGTTGATAAATCAATTATGAGAAAATTAAGGCCTTTAAAAGGTATTAAAAAGTCTTAATCACATTTTTTTCAAATATTTACTTTTTTTTTTCGTATTTTGTTCAAGCATTGTTCAAAGTGTTTGACTCCAAAAAAGCATAAATACAGTTATTTTCCTTCTAATGTTAACAACAGCGTGCTCAATCCACACAATTAGTTCAGGTCGGGGCCTGTCTGGCCAAGCTCCTTCGTCTTGGTTATGTCACGTAATATGCAACAAATGCGGGAAGGTGATGTGACGCTCTCCAAATATAGTGAAACCATAGAGCAAAACAGACGACAAAATGGGAAAATGTAAGTTTGCGTACTCCTGGTTGGAGAAAGACGAGTTTAAACAGTGGCTGAAGTCTGTCACTGAAAACAATTGTGTAATTTATTCTTTCAAGCTTTGTTTCTTCCGCACTTATCCATGTTTTGTTGCATATGGTTAATTTAAGTGCAACTGTTCATTAGCAACTGTTTATTAAGTTAAAGGTTTGATACTGACTAGAACTTGAAGTGGCGATGAGGTCTTAAAAATATTCTGAGAAGGTCTTTAAAAAGTCTTAAAAAGGTCTTAAAATTTGCTTCCGGCATATACCCTTTCTAATTTTGACTGGTGTTCTTTTTCTCATGTTTAGAAACTGCTTCTTTCCGAGCATTTAAATAGGAATAAAGGAATTTAGGATATTTTAATTATTTGGATATCCACTGTACATACAGCAGGCTAAAAGCTGATGATTGTGTGCGGCAAAAAAATGTCTCCACAAGGTTAAAAAACATTTCACTGACATTTGCTAAATATAATACAGGAATAAAGGAAAACAATTTAAGGAATATACACACATGCATACATTTTACTCTGAATGTAGTTAGGAATTGGTCAAATATTTATGTACAGTATATGTGTTTGTGACATATCAGGCAATATCACAAATCTGTATAATGATCAGTGGTGGAAAGAGTACTGAAAAATCATACTCAAATAAATGTACCATTACTTACCCAAAAATGTAGTGCATAAAGGTATCTGCTTTAAATATTATTCAATGAATGAGTAAAAAGTAGCCCTATTAAAAGTACTCAAGAGTAACGTGTAGTGAGTATTACACTGTGAAAGGTTTATGCGTTTACTGTGCATGCAATTTGTATATGTGTGTGTGAAAACGTAACACTCTGTAGTGCATTTAGTTATTATTTTGGGCCATTTGGAAATTTCAGTCATCATTCAGTAAACATACTTCATAAATCGCCATGTCTTGAGGTTGTTTAGTATGATGCGATTTTGATTGTACAGGAATCACAGGAAGGATTTTTATACTCAGTCAATCCCCATAGACGAGAGAAAATAAAATATATATGTATTTAAAGTGAAGTAAAAGTACCAATATAGCACTAAAACAATTTACTTAAGGGAAAGTACACAGTTTTTAAAATTACTCAGTAAAGTACAATTCCTTAGAAAAACTACTCGATTACAACAATTTGAGTATTTGTAATTTGTTACTTTACACCACTTATAATAAAGTAGGTATTACAAGGAGAAACTTGACTTTTTTTCAAAAGGCTTACAAATAGTCAAGAATGTTTTTATAATAATATAATAATTTATTCAAAACAATAATACAGTCTGTATTGTTTAAGAACTATGGAAACACATGGAATGTCCTGACAATTTACAAATATATTGTGCGCAAGAGTGTAAATTGTGTATGTGTGTGCAGCTGTGTCAGTGTTTGTGTGTGAATCAATATGCTTGTTTAGTTTTGTCATTTTTTTGGTTGTTTTCCATTTGGTTCATTTGGAATTTGCATCATTCCTTCTTTCTTCCCCCCAATTATTAATTCCAGCCTGAACGGGTTAGGCCAAGCAAGCGGAGAGAAAGAGGACAGGACCTTTAAGATGCGGCCAGATGTTGCTTACAACCTCATGCACACTGTGTTCTTCGGCCTGCTCGCCTTTTCCACTATGAGGTAAGCAACTCATAAATCGGAAAGTTTTGTTGCTTTTATTCCACGTATCCCCCCCCCCCCATGCAAATATTTGACTTCTGTATTTTCCTCACTCTGCCGTCTGTAATTTCATTCCCTGCCGCTGCCACTATGGTGCATCTCAATTTCAGCCTCTTCTCCATTTCCACTTTCATTTCCTGTCCTCCACATTGCTTTTGTGATTTTCTTTATCTTATTAGTCCATATCCCAACTTGCTGGTTCATTCCAGATTTTAATGATGAATGAATTATTGTGGAACATGGTACGATCGCTCCATAAAGTTTAGGTCGGTGTTGGAATTGAAAATGAATGCTATTCAAGGCTTTTGTGTTTGTGGTGTTTTATTTTGAATATTGTGATAGAATAGAAAGCACTAAAAGATTTGATCTTTCCTGCTGGCAGGATGAAATATTTGTGGACTGGCCATATGTGTACAATCGCTGCCTTCGGGGTTTGTGGAAAGGAGGTGTGGGCGCTGTATCTGAGAGTCCTTCACTGCAACACTAAAACCGCGGTGAGAGACAGATCACATAAAGACACACAGCACAAATGAAACACATTTGAAAGGTGTTGTTAAAAGGTCTGGTTAGTCTGATTTATCACTAAATAGTTGTAGCAAACAAATACAAAGGTTTTTAATTATTGTAATAATCAGATCACTTAATTGAATATATATTCTAGACATAGTGTTGACATTTCTTCAGATTTTTTTAGATTTATTAAAAAAAGAAAAACTTAAATATCTCATGGTCCTCAGTATTTAGACCCTTTGCTTAGTATTTAGTTAGTAGCACCCTTATGACCTAATACATCCATGAGTCTTTTTGGGAAAGATGCAACACATTTTACACACCTGTATTTGGTAATCCAAATATGCCATTCCGAATATGCCATTCGCCCAGGTTGGATGGTAAACATTGGTGGACAGCCATTTACAGGTCTTTCCAGAGATTGTCAATTCAGTTTAAGTCAGGGCTCAGGCTAGGCCGTTCAAGAACAGTCATGGAGTGTTGGTGAAGCCACTCATTCATTATTTTAGCTGTGTGCTTAGAGTCATTCGCTGTTTCTCAATATGCGTTCTTCAGCGATCTTGTGTCCTCGTGTTCTCGTGTAACGTCATCTTCAACTACCAAAGTTCAGTTTTAATACTCAAGACTGCAGAGGACTCGTGAATGTTCTCGGATGTGTTATTAATATCGAGGACGCATGGATGCAGTTCGAACTCGCTCTAAAAGTCTCAGAAGTCATTGCGACTGGAGGTGGGAAGTGCAGCATTTTATATAGGTTTATTATTAAAGTTCAGGGAGATAACTTATTTATCTTAGGAGTTGTCCTAAATGAAACAGTGAAAATAAACATTACCATGAAAATCTTAATAAAGGAATAAACACATTAAGGGTGTTTATTTGCTGAAATTCGTATTAAAATCTGTTTTATTTATATTGTGCAACATATATTTGTAAAGTCTTTATGCATAGTATTTATATTGAAGCAATACATTTCTGTATGAATGATGTAATGTTTAAATATTTTTTCCACTAAAAACACTTGAAGGTCGACCATCAGAAAGATCGCAGTATCTCATTTCTCACTGGACGCGTTTTCTGTTCTCGTGTTCTTCTGAGTTTGTTCTTCCTAGGACAACTGGCAAGACCGTTCTTCACAAGAGTGCAAGTCCATTCTCTGCATTCTTGGAATTGAGAAACAGCCATTATCTAGTTGAAAGCTAAACCTTCGGCCCAGGTCCTGAGCACTCTGGAGAAGGTTTTCGTCCAGGATATCCCTGTAGAAATCACTTTTTTTTGAATAAGTATATTATATTGTTTAACTGTAGATTAGCTGTGGTGTCCACTGCATAGACAGCACCTTAAGCGTTCCTGATTTTGATTGAAATGTAATAAACATGCACCTTTATATAAGGTATGTATAAAGCTGTATACATTAGTTAATTTCTTCATTTTCTCTTTCGGCTTAGTCCCTTTACTATTCTGGGGTCGCCACAGCGAAAAATAAACTTTGTATTATCAGGGTTCAATTTCTGTTTTACTAATATATATATATATATATATATATATATTTATGTTGCTATGATTTTAGTAGCCATTAATCTTCAAAATAGCCATGTAATATTTAGATTTAATTGGTTCTAGTACAAAAATAAAATAAAATAAAAAAAAGGTAAATGTTTTGGTGTTTACAGCACATACACACGGCAGAAAAACAAGTAAACTGTTTCAATTTATAATGAACTGTCCTTTACAAAAAGAGAAATGTCAAACTAATGTGCCTAAGTATATTTTTAGATGCATAATTTATAGAAATGACCAGTGTGTGAAACGCTATGCAGTAAAACAACTGTATGAATAATTTATGTCATAAAAATAAGAAATGTAAGAAAATGTCCATTACATCTAATAATAACAATAAAGAAATACTCTGATTGCAAATACTGTACACACATACACACAAACACACACACACACACACACACACACACACACACACACACACACACACACACACACACACACACACACACACACACACACAAACAATGATTTATTGTTGCACAGTCCAGGTCCAGATCTTATTTTGCTGCATATTATTCACATTTCCATGAACAGGAAAAAAAAAAAGAGTAACAATCATTCAGATTACAATTATTCAAATGAAGTGTAGCAAATTTCAACATTTTCTAATAGCATTTTTTCACATTGGCTGTAAAGGTCACAGCTGACTTACAGTATCTTACTTCAAAGTATCTGACAGTCTCTGCTCCACAGCTATCATTTTTAAGAAGAAAAATATGTTTAATAATTCATGGATAATGTTTACCTGAAAAAGGACATTATCTTTATATATTGACAATTCACCAATTTCTATCGGTATCTATCTATCTATCTATCTATCTATCTATCTATCTATCTATCTATCTATCTATCTATCTATCTATGCATGGACTCCTATTATTTATTTTTTTTCTGTGACATGCAAAAACATAAAATGCTGATTGCTTTTTGTCCACGTGCATCATCTCTTAGTTATGGGCATCTGTATATAATGGGTCCATTTTAGACACACGGTCATGGTTTAGTAGATAATGGGGGCAGCAGTGTTTACCCAATTTCCATGTCTGTCTCTCTCTCTCTCTCTTATATTCAGTACAAGCAGTAGCGAAAGACACACGTCTGAAATAGAATCCAATACATATTTGTAGAAGGCCACAAAAACAAAGATGCTTATCACATATCGCTGTATGCAAGTGTAATTTGGAAACTGTAATGCTTACTGATATTGAGCTTCGACGAAGCGTAGTGTTACTTTCTGATTTGTATTATTTTTCCTGCATGAACGTGCCCCTGTGTACGCAGATGAAAGTGTTCATTTCCCCACTAGGGGGCAGTGTAGTTCCAGCCCTCAAGCCCAAACAATTACATCCTGTGTATTCCAATTCAGGTGGCTATTTATCCATTTATGTTATTAATCTGTTTCCACAGATGAGACTGATCAGGTACTCGGTGCCTATTGTAATCCTGGCGTTTCTTTATTACAAGGTAAGACATTTTCACTTAGGCTGTCATGTATTTATTTGCATATATTGCCGTTCCGCCTGGGTAACTGTACACCGTAAACAATCAAGCAAGAATCCAGAAGCACACAAATGGAATTCATATCCCACTGTGTGTGTTATTTAGGGGACTTCTGATTTCAGACGTTATTTTTTTTTCTCTCTCTTTCTCTCTGTGTTAACATAGCAGTGAGAGTATGCAATCAGATATGAATTTGTGTATGTTTGTGTGTATAGATGTTTGTTGGGTTGCTTTGTTGATCATTGATTATCGTGAGTCATACCCATTACAGCAGTCTTGCAGGCTCGCTCCATCTCAATCGCTGTCTTTCTGTTGACAGTTCTGGCCCAGACTGATGGAGGAGATTTCGGAGCTGAGAGAGTTTTATGACCCAGACACCGTGGAGCTAATGGAGTGGATCAGGTAAAACAGCTGTAATCTTCCTCTTACACACTAAAAGCAAACAGTCGCTGACAGCCTTCAGTGCAAGGGTCTGCAACCTTAGGCATGCAAGCACTGTTGGCATGTAGGGCTGGATTCGTTGGCACTGATGAGAGCGAGAGAATTGAGTTTTTCATTCACTTAGTTGTTGATTTTTTAAAAGTGTTAAAAAAGTCTCTCGCATCTGCATGCCAAACTTGCTCTGCAGTAATTCCTCCTCACCATCCCGCAATCTGGTTTTATTTAGTTATGTGCTGTGTGGAGTTTAGTTTGAGTTTCTTTTAGGGGAATAATATTTTGTAAAGGGTCAGAGATGATGCATCATTATGTTTGGTCTGCATCAAATTTCATTTGACAAAAGTGTTGCTTTTATTAATAGAAAGCAATGATTTAAGTAACTTCTGTGAACATAAAATGTCAAAATATGGGTGGAATAAATAACTATATAACAGGTAACTATATGTAAAAAAATAAGCAAGATACTTATGTTCAACTGTATTTTTTAAGATGTGTAAAAGAACTGATCATATTATTATTTTTTTGATAAACACCTTTAAACAAAGTATCTAATCAGCATTTTGCACTGCAATTCTTAACCCATTTGAGCCCAACTATAAGTTTGTAGTTGCCTTTTTCTTTTTATAAGTAATTTCTACATGCCATCCACGTTTAATTTCTCAATGATATGCAAGCAAACAACCAAATAAAAGATTTTAAGAAGAAAAAAAAAGAAATTGATTTAATTCCTTTCACATGAGGCCTTAAACTTCCTGTCCCTAATTTCAGGATGCAAAATGGATGCAAACCCTCCCAAATAAAGGCAATTTTTATGATACTAATTTTTATTTTGTTCACAAATGTTTATCAACATAATCATGAGGGTCTCTAGATTCATCTAAATAAAACAAATCTTTGAGGAAATCTATAGTTTTTTTGTATACTTTGTCAAATGTTCAAGCAGCAGCTGTAGTTGCCGGTGGGCAAATACTTTGTAAGTACATTTAGTGGAATTAGCGAATAATGTGTTAATAAGTTAATAAATCAAGGTTGTTGGTCTTGTTTAATGTGTTTTTTTTTTGTTTTGTTTTTTGCTTTCATAATACCCCATCTAAACATAACTTAACCATTTAAGTGATATCTTTACTTTAAAGTAGACTTTTTTGATACACAATTTGATATACAGCAAAATCCTGGGAGTAAAATTAACATTTCCTTCTACCGCAAAGAGTCAAAATAACACTGGAGCATAGTTAAAGTGCCGAGTGAACAGAGAATAATGATCTACTGCTGTAAAAAGCAGAACCACTGAAGAAAAACACAAAACTACAAGCAAATTCAGTCACAACCCTAGACCCTGCTGTACACACAAACATGGGTATTGTCTAAATTGCAGCTTTTTTTCTGCACAAAAACACAGTATCAGGTCACTGAAAAGCTATTTTTTTGAAACTCTTGTCAGGTGAAGATTTTCAAAACTGCTTGGGTCTGTGTTTTTCTTGAAAACTGAAAAAAAATGTTTTTGTTTACAAAAATACCTGTGAAAGTGTAGACATGGTCTTAGAAACTGAAAACTCAATAAATATCAGCTCATCAGGATAATTAAACAACTCCACAAACACAATCAGCAGCTTTATTTGTTACTAAGCTGTCTGACTATTTCTATCAAAAGTCTGTAGTGAAATTCACTGAAAATACTTGTATTGTTAGATGACAATGTTGTGGTATGCATTTAATTCTGTGTATTTACACCAGTATTTTCTTTACTTTTTGATTTTCATATTCTTTTCGGCTTAGTCCCTTTATTAATCAGGGGCCATACAGAATTAACTCTTTAATTTTTTATGTTATTTTTTTTTCTTCTACTGCTGTAACTTTTTCTCTTTTCACGCTTAACATTTCTTTTCTTCTACAAATGGCTGACTTTTGTTTGTATTTAGACAATTGTTAAACTTATTATTAATATTATTATTATTATTCATTTAGCATATGATTTCTGTGTGAGACTTCATTTTGATGGTCCTTATGGCACATTTTGTTGACCTAAAGTTGCATTGCAACTACATGCCAATTATTTTTCATTTAAGTATTAGTAGACTGCCTGCTTAATATCTGCTGATACTGCTCCTTCTACAGACATTTAACTGACATTTAACTGATCAGAAACTTTGCAAGTACATGTCAACTTACACTAACCCTAACCCCAACCTAACAGTCTACTTATAATCTATTTAAAATTAGTTGGAATGTAGATGCAATGTAAATTAAGTTCAACAAAATGTCTTAAAGGGAGCATTAAAATAAAGTGAATAAAACTTTCTCTTAGTAGTTGTAAATAACAACTGCAATAACAATAATAATAATAATAATAATAATAATAATAATAATAATAATAATGATAGTAGAAATTGTTGTTGTGATAATAATAACAATTAGCTGTAACGCTTGAAAAATTCATACTTGACTTTTTAAAATAATATTTATATATAAATTTATAATGTTTTACATTGCAATTTATTTAAATTAACATTTTAAAATAACAGCTGCTGTGTGTATATAGCGATGATTTGATCTGAAATACCACGTCTTTTTCAAACTCTACTCACTCACAAAATGACACTTGAACATGACACTTTAGGAAAAGATGTCTTTGACGCCACAAGTTAGCGCCACACAACTCACAACAAGAGAAGTGCAAAAACAACAACACCACAAGCATAATGTGGTAAAGTGTAAAAAAAACAAAAACTCCCTCATTTAAATAATTCAGTAATGACGCCATGCGTCTGAGAAAACAGAACGTGGCATTCCACACCTCAGAAATCACAACATATTGCATTTCACAGCCATTAAAAAGGAAAATCGGCTCTTTGCGTTTTTAAAATTGCCAACCTCTATTTCAAACTAATGTAAACATTCGTTCCTCCTGCCCTCTTATTCATTCCATTACGAACTGTAAAGGACACAAATAAAAAGCTGCAGTGAGCGCTCGAGTCATCCCACAAGATTTGCAGCAGTATGGCAGCAGGTAGCTGTGTTTGGAACCAGGCCCCCGCTTAAAGGTGGACGTCATGAATTAGACATTAGCTGCTGGAGAGACTCCAACGGTTGGCAACAGAGGGTTTCATCAATGACAATATTCTCAGAGAAAAAAAGAAAAGAAAAAAAACAATAACACGCTTGCTCATATAGTAGTCAAGTTTATTTATCTGTGAGAATGAGTGAGACATCGGCCCTGCAGTGACACAGGTGATCTCTCCCTGAAGAAAATGTGATTTGTGTCAGGGATTAGTGGTTGAGTTCCCTTGGCTGGCGCTCCTGCATTAAGCCGCTTCCACACGCTAATTAACCATCAGATGAAAGAGTTAAGCGGGGATCACTTCACACTTCTGCCTGTGCGTGGCTTGCCAAAGCCTGCACTGTTTTATATGTAGATTAGGAGAGATGCTCTTCTGCCTGGAAGGGAGGGCGGGCATGAAAAAGCGTATCAGGGAGAGTGGCAGAATCAGCCTCTTCTAACCGTGATTGGAGCTCGCTGCATAATAAACCACATACTGGGGCACAATGTGAAAAAGGGAGGGCGAACAACTACTACTGTGCGAGCAGCGCTGTCAAGCAATCTTCTGATTTATCTGGAGCTAAAAGCAACACATTAGACATAATATATGAGTGCATGAACGCTCCTAGTTTTTCACTTTTACGATTTGGCTGTACGCTTTTAGAGCGATAGGTGTTCCAAACCATTGGTGTTTGCTACATAGGCGGGATCCTCATGAGCGATTGATTCTGTGTTTTTATTGCTACTCTCCTCACGTGAGAAACACACAGAAAACTTGACTCCGAGGAAGCCTACGATAGCCGAAGAAAGCCATTCGTTAGCATTCTCTTTCATCTCGGTTGCTGGAAGTGTGAAATTTGAAATCTGCCATCTTTGCTCGTGGCGTAATCTTAAGGATTATGAGTATTATATGCAAAAATGAAGAAACATATCCCATTAGTTAACATTCTGTGGGCTTGTGGAAGATCTGTGTCGAGGATTTATGTTTTTATTGAAAATATGTTTCTTTGTGAAGGGAGTTGAATGGCTGTTTACTTGTGTTCATGTTGTTAAGGTAGCAACACAACAGTCTGACAACATATCAGAATGTAAATGAGCTTAACTGTAGACGCTGAATTAATTCTAACTCATCAGTTTGTTGCATTGGATGTCAGTCTGGATGGACAGTTTCCCTGTGGAAATTAAGAAAGCTTATTTTCTCTATTGAATCAAAAAAAGTAAAAAGGGGAATTGTCAGTCTTTCAAAAATCACAGCGGAAACAGCAACAAAAAGTTCTGAATTGTAAGTTTACAATGCTCAGCATAATTGTGTACAGCCTATTTTTAAAATAAACATTTGTATCCATTTCTCAGTGAATATAGACAATGTATTTTGGTGCATTTGAACAAAACAGATTTATTAAACAGATATATTTATTAAAATAACGTTTTACTCACCAAACATATTTAGAAATTAAAAGATAATAGAATAAAATTCAAAAAGAAATATTGAAAATGAATTACAACATACAAAATTTTGACAAAATTATTATTTTTTTTGCTTCTCTTGATTTTTCCTATTTTTTTCTATAACATAGAGATCTGGAGACACATTTTTTGGACTGTTAGTTATTTTGTAAGACAGGGCTATTCAATTAGTTTGTCATGTGGACCGGTTCATAAAAAGCATCCCAAACGAAGTGCCGGAGAGATATGACTTGCTATATGAGTGATGACACAACAGCCTATAAGAGCCCATATGCTGTATATTTTGGCTCCTTAAGACACCCATGTTGGCTTTTTCTACATTAAAATGTTAATATATTGTATTTTGAAACTACATAATATTACGGCATTGTACAATAGACTTTTGTTTTTTTTGTTGCAAAAATTCAAATGTTGCATTTAAGAGCACAACAAAAGCAGTGCATTGCTGAAGCAGGCTTTT